AGGGGCTACTGGGAGTGAAAGAGAATGAAAAAGACTTTTGAAGGAACCAGAAACCCAATCCTAAACAGGAAACAAGGGATAAGCCTCGACTTCTGTTTCATAAAACTGGGGAGGAGTATAAACAAGACTATAGACGAACCTATCTACTTCGATTGAGGTAAAATAATAATAATAATAATGAATAAAATCTCAAAGTTTAGGCCGAGATGTTAGAACTATAGAGTTGAAATGGACTTTAGAAGGAACTGGAAACCCAGTCCAGAAAAAAAGGGAGAAAACTCGACTCCTTTTTAAGAGACCGGGGAAGGAGGGTGAAAAAGAATCATTATCATTTGCAGTGGCTTATTGCCAGTTAGCAGGAAACTCTTTGATATCATCCAAAGGTTTTGATATGAAAAAGTTTTCGATGACCTCTTCAGGTAATAATCAGTTAGTGCAAGGTCAGATGTGGCACAAGACCGAATATAATGTGGGGTATCAAAGCCCGTAGGCTCAGTCGAAAATTTCCCCGTATAAAACGGGGTCGGGTAGCTGTTTCCCGAAACGAGACTCTGCCCTTCGTCATAGCATCGTCTGGGGATCCTCTCTGCCCAGAGGCAGAGAGTCTTACCAGCACAGCTGGAGACGAATCTCCAACTACAGACCAACATACAGTATTTACTACTCTATTTATGTGAATGGGGACATACCCATTATTGTATGTAGGCAGGCTACAACACAAATTTTGATCTGTAAAAATCTTCAGCAATCTTAATTCAAGTTCTTTTATTGCTCTCCTTAATCATATTTTTCTTTATCATCTATTCTTTTACATTTTCTTATATTCTCTAACACTCAGTAACCCCTTCTGTCTTAGTAGTTTTACTGCCTTGTTTTGATGAAATTATTATATATATATATATATATATATATATATATATATATTAATCATTTGAAATGATGATGAAATGATTTTATATATATATATATATATATATATATATATATATATATATATATATACATACAAATATAGATAACTATATTCATTTCGAAAACCCTCGAATTTTTTTTTACTTGCCAATAATCAAATCAATCTCGAGGGAAAAAAGGTTTTAAAAAAGAAAGAGCTAGAAACATGAAAGTCTGTCGAAAAAATCGCACAGGTGCATGTTTGAAGCCCAAAAAAACCCTGATACGAGTAACAACTAACTAACAAAAGAGCTCAATACAACCGTAGAGCAGATTTAGATACATTTAGTGAGCCAGACAACCTAGGTAGGTTTGTCTGGCTCACTAGGTGTATATATATATATATATATATATATATATATATATATATATATATATATATATATATATTAATCATTTCATCCAAAACAAGACAATAAAGCTACTAAGACTTGCTACTAATTAGACTAGTAATAAAAGATATTAACGTTTTGTTTTGGAAGAAATGATAAATATATATATATATATATATATATATATATATATATATATTAATCATTTCATCCAAAACAAGGCAATAAATCTACTATATATAGGGAGCGACAGGTAACTTGTAGCCATTTTATATTTTTAATTTCGCGCATGCGCGTTTTTGATTTTGTCGGCTGCAGAGTATAGTAGGGTCAGTTGGGCACCGTCTGTGAGAAAAAGAGAAGTATAGCACAATTCACTCTTCCAGAAATTTGGAAACGGCATGCTGTAATGCTTAATTTGAGCGACAATCTGAGGACAGTGATTCGGAAAGAATTGGATGATCTAATGGTGATTACGAAGGTGTTTGGAGTGTTCACTAGAGATGGTAACGTTATGCCTGCATTCATCTTCCCACAGGGCCTCAGAGTCAACACGGAGGTTTACATAATGTTCCTTGAATAGGTAGTGCTGCCCTGGGAAAAGAGGATGTCTGCTGGAAGACCCCATATCTGACAGCAGGACTCTGTACCATGCCACACAAGCAAGAGAACCCAGTCATAGCTGTCAGACAATTCTTGCTACCACATCACATCTGGCCACCTAACTCCCCAGACTCCACCCCCTTGATTATTATTAATGTGTGGCACAGTTGAGCGAGACACCAACAAAACTCCTTGTTACACCTAAGATAAACCGAGGGCAAGGCTTATGGCAGCATTCACCAAACAAGGAGACCGTCCAGAAGAGATGCAGGAGATTCCAAAATCGTCTGACGAATGTGGTTAAAGCCAATGGCGATTATATTGAATAAATTTATACTTTAGTATTTCAAGAAATTTTGATAAAATATATCTTTTAAAATGAGATGCCAAAGTTATTTTTATTTTTGCATCGCATCCTATATATATATATATTTGTGTAGATATATATATATCTATAATATTTAAATATTAAAATATTTAAAATGTGATGAATATTATTCATTTCCACATAACGAATTACCTCAAAAGAAATCTGTTATAGTAGATTACAAAAAAAAAGCAAGTTGTTTCTAAAAACCATGGAAATAAGAGAATAAAGGATGAGAATTTCGATCTGAAAGAAAATGAATTGCAAATTTAGGAAATGGTAGTTCTGAAAAACAAAGGCAAGAAAATCACAAGAAACCTTAATAAGAGTTTAAAACAACTAACTTAAGACCTTACAAAGAAATAGATTTTTTTTCATCCAAAATTCCTTTGTCTCAACATATCTACATTTTTCACTTCTTTTCTTTCATTTGAGAAGCTATCTTATGAATTGCATCGCCTTTTTCTTCAAAGGCCAGGAAAAATAGGTATACACACACCCACACATTTATATACATATCACCCATATACATATATATATATACACACACACATATATATCACCCATATATATATATATATATGTATATATATATATATATATATATATATATATATATATATATATATATATATATATATATATATATATATATATATATATATATATATATATATATATATAAAATCACCAATATAATATATATATATATATATATATATATATATATATATATATATATATATATATATAAATCACCAATATATATATATATATATATAAATCACCAATATATATATATATATATAAATCACTAATATATATATATATATATATATATATATAAATCACCATATATATATATATATCAATCATCAATATATCTCTCTCTCTATATATATATATATATTTATATATCAACTATGTGGGTAGTTCATTTTATTACATGAATCATTCATACAAAAAAAACTTCTATATCTGTTTTTTGTATGAATGATTCATGTAATATATGTATATATATTTTGTATATGTGCGTATATATGTGTATTTATATATGTGTGTGTGTGTGTCGATATGAACGTTTATATATATATATATATATATGGAATAATGTCATTTATATATAATAATAATAATAATAATAATAATAATAATAATAATATATATATATATATATATATATATATATATATATATATATATATATATATATATAATGAACAGTAAGATATATAATCCGGTGTTCTTATTAATATTTTTTAATTTTTACAAAACAGTGCTCAATGTAAATTTACAGAGTATGAAGTCTATTAGTAATTAAGAGTGAAAATATTTTAAAATTTTAGTTAAATAAAAACGTATTCTAACCTTAACATCCCCTAAAAAATCATTAAATATACAAGTAGGAAAAAATGTCGAAAGACTTTTTGCCGTTAACAATAGAAAAAAACCCAGACGACATGCGTTTAACGAATGTCTGAATTTGTTGAGAAATACAACCCTTCCCTCTCTAAACTTAACGTCTTTTTCGAACGTAACTCATAATTGATACAAACAATAGTTAATTAAAATGAACACGCTACCGCCCCTTGTCTGAATGACTGGATTTCTCTGTATCCTTGGAAACAGGGAATTATGAATTTATGTGTGCGTTTAAAACTCAGGAAATTAAAAAAATAAGTTATTACAATATTCGCTTGAAGATGAAATGGAACTAATGCTTTTAATTTAATTACAAATTTAATTAGCTTCTGTTTTTGAAACATAGTTATTACTGTGTAGCGAAAAAAACATTTTAAATCAATTAATAATAATATATATATATATATATATATATATATATATATATATATATATATATATATATAGTTTTTTTTTAGAAGAGATTGTAAGAATTTATTTGAAGATAAGGATTTGCTGATACAAATCTTACTCATTAACCCATAGCTGGAGGAGAATAGCTAGATTCACACCTTTCCCAATTGTATTTGTGCGAATGTGAATATAACAAAACAAAGAAGAATTGAACAATTCAGACCCATTGACCATTACACCACCCGCACATCCAAGCTTACAACACTCAGTATTTCCAAACGGTCACTCATCTAGGTATTGACCAGGCTTGAATTTGCTTAACTTTGGTGATCGTAAAAGAACAAGTGTTTCAATCTGATATGGACTTACGCTCTTTAGATCACCCGCAAATCCAACCTCACACCATCTGGTATTCCCAAGCAGTCAACCATCCAGTTACTGACCAAGCTCAACGTTGCTTAACTGAGATGGTCATACAAGAACCAGTAGTTCAATGTCACATGCCATAAGGACACCCAAATTTACAGCACTTTGTATTCTCAAGGGGTCACCCGTCTAGGTATTGACCAGGCCCGACATTGCTTAATTTTGGTGATTGTACTAGAACTGATGTTTCAATATAATATGGCCGCAAGATAATTACACAACCTGCCCATCCAAGCTTACCTCACCTGATATTCCTGTGCAGTCCCCCATCTAGGTACTAATCAGGCACGACGTTGCTTAACCGGTGTTTCAACGTTATATAGCCGTAAGCCCTTTTAGAACACCGGAAAATTCAAGATTACCACACCTGATATCCCCAAGCAGTCACCCATTTAGGAACTAAACAGGCTCGATGTTGCTTAACTTCAGTTTATCGTCCAAGAACCAATGTTTCAACATGATATAGCTACAAGCTCTTCAGACAACCTTAAAATCTAAGCTTATCACATCTGTTATTCCCAAACTATTACCCATGTAGGTACTAACCAGGCTCGATGTTGCTTAACTTCAGTTTATCACACGGGAACCGGTGTTTCCACGTGATATGGCCGCAAACTATTTAAACAATTGGAAAATCCAAGCTTACCAAACCTGATATTCCTAAGCAGTCACCCATCTAGGTACTAACCAGACTCGGCGTTGCTTAACTTCGGGTTATCGTAGGAGAAGTGGTGTTTCAACGTTACATGGCCGTTACCCCTGAATTTCTGGCATGAGTAATTATCATTTACATTATTTACATGCAGACTATTGTTCACGTCTTTGTTGTTGTTATCACGACGTTTCGGCTGTTGTCCTCTCCGGCCTTCATCCGTTGTATTTCCATCCGGGTAACCTACAGGGAATTTCGAGCTGAATCCTTTATTTTATCTACGGGGTTATATTGTTCTCGTTCCGCAGTGCATGTCTACTGATATCTTGTCTAGTTCTCCTTTAGTATGACCCCGTTATTGCTTGCCCCCTTTATGAGAGTAGTGGCGTTCGATCGATCAAATAAGTCAATAAACCCAGGCCCCTATCTGAAAGAGGGTTACTGCCTGGGGGCGATGGTCCCCGACCAGGGAGTTGAGCTAATATTATTCTTAAACTTTCCCGACAAAAGTGCCAAAGAGTATCTGCAATTGTTAAGCGTAGCTTAGGCGTGGCAGAGGGTCGAAAATATGGGCCACCCGGTGAGGATCTCTCTTTTCAGTTGCATTTGATCTAGTGAGACAAGCTTGATAACTACGGAAAGTCTACGATCTTCTTCTTCTTCTTCTTTGTGTGCCTTGTCCCCTCGGGACGTAAGCGATCATGGCTCTCCACAGCTTCCTGCCCCTTGTAGCTCTTAATAATCATTGCCTTTCTGTTATTCTTCCTAAACCCTGTTCCGTTCTGCATTTACTCAAATTCACAAAGTATGCTATACATTATTTTCCTTTGTCTCTCTTGCCCTCTGTCCTGTGAGTATCAGATTTTCCAAGCCCTCCTTCCTCATTATGTGCCACAGAAACCTCAACTGTCTCTTCCTTATGTTAAGTAAAAGTTTCCTTTTTTGTTTCCATTTTCTTTAAAACTTCGTCGTTACTCATATGTTCCGTCCACGGTATCCTCAGCATCCTTCTGTAGAACCACATTTTTGCTGCTTCAAGTCTCCTCCTCATCTTTGAGGAGATCGTTCAGCACTCACTGCCATACAGAAGGACAGATATTGTTATGAAATAAAATAAGACATATCTCGGCTGATTTGCAGGCAAATAAACTAACATACTCAAGAGCGAGAGCCGGCTGTGAACGGGACAAGTCCCCATCACAAAATGACCATTATCTTCGTTTACGCATATTCCCGACGCACGAGTTCCGGTCGAAAAATAAAATAATATTTTAAAGTTTTTCTATTTTTCGACCAATAAAAATGCTTCCATCCTAATTATACTTGCGTCGTTTTACGAGCCTGTTAAGCCATAAAAGGGGTCACACGGAAGTACAACGGCAGTCAACAGGAGGCCAGATCGGTTGAACTCTCTGCCTTCGGGCGGGGAGGAACCCGAGAGAGGCTACGCCGAAGGGCGGATTCTCTTTCGGGGAGGTAAACCGACCCTGAAACCGTTTATACGGGTTCAAAGGGCATATTTTTGGCCGAGCCCAAGGGCTCGGAGATCCCACGTTAAAAAGGCCTCGTGCCACATGATGCTCTCGTGTGTGTGTGGGGGGGTGACTGAATATCGTCAACAGGAGGCCAGGGAAGAGACCTGTCATGGTCAGGCAGAGTGGTCAGCAGCAGCCAGCAGCAGTAGCGCCACGCCAACCAGCGAAAACTACTATGAGAGATCAACCCAGATCTTCAGCCGGCCTATGAACTATACCACAAGGTAGCTGTCCCAAAACCACACGTTCCTATTGAAATAAATCACGTAAATCTATTTCTGCTGTTGTCGTATTTCTTTCTTGCAACCATACGCTTGTCTATAACAATATCATGTAGCAGTTTAGTACTCTTTACCTTATTTCTAGCGAATTTTTCCTATTTCTTATTACTCTGCTTAGCTTTTGGAATGCTTCTTTGGATATCCCAATATGCCTCCGTCATGTGTTGAAACACTTCCCAGATATTTAAATTTCTGCACTTGTTGGATTTTGGTACCCCCGATTTGCAATTCGCGCTTTGGTCTCACCCTTTCGCTGACAACCATGCATTCTGTCTTCTTTCTGTTGATATTTAATCCTTTCTTCTCGCTTTCCTTCGCTATCTTCAGTAAGAGTTGTTGTAGCTTTCTTTTTGTGCCTGCTATAACCGCAGAGTTAATTATTTTCTGAAACCAGTGACATCTTATGTTCCTTGGGAGGAGTGGGTCGACAAAAACTTAAAAAAAAACCCCAAAAAAACCCTGAAAATATAGAATGCGTTTTGCTTTAAAATGCGAAAATTGCTTGTCGTCGCATCCATTTTGTTTTTTTTTTTTATACATGCGTAAAAATCGTTTTTAGGTTTTACTCTCACGCGTAATAGCAGTTTTTTTCTCTTTATTATGCATGGATGGTGAGTAATAATCACTTTGTACAGGCGTTGCCTGGATCTTTAGACGATTTTAAAAGACATTATAAACACGAGACGTAGATATCTGTAGCGATTTGAGTAAGAGGTAAATTGAAGGTTTCTGTGATGAAATATCTAAGCCAATATAAAGTGAGTGATTGAAATATAACATTACCCAATTATATTCACAGTAAAATCCGGTATTAATTATAGGATTCATAAAAAAAAAACCGATATCAATGGTTTATAAAAATCCGATATTAATTATAGGTTTGCTTAAAAAAAAATCAGTTATTAATTATAGGTTTGCTAAAAAAAAAATCCGGTATTAATTATAGGCTTCATAAAAAATTCTGATATCAAAGGTTTATAAAAATCCTATACTAAGTATAGGTTTGCTAAAAAAAAAATCAGATATTAATTATAGGTTCGCAAAAAAAAAAAAATCCGGTATTAATTATAGGCTTTATAAAAGAAAATCCGATATCAAAGGTTTATAAAAATCCGATATTAATTATAGGTTTGCTAAAAAAAAAATCAGATATTAATTATAGGTTTCCTAAAACGAATCCTATATTAATTATTTGCTAAAAAAGAATTATATTAAAGGTTTATAGAAATCCGGTATTAATTATAGGTTTGCTAAAAAAACAAAACTAAGATATTAATTATAGGTTTGCTAAAAAAAAAAAACATATTAAAGTTTTATAAAAAAAACTAGATATTAATTATAGGTTTCCAAAAACGAATCCTATATTAATTATAGATTTGCTAAAAAAAGAATTATATTTAAGGTTTATAGAAATCCGGTATTAATTATAGGTTTCTTAAAAACCCGATATCAACGTTTTATAACAATCTGACATTTGCTAAAAAAATTCAGATATTAATTATAGGTTTGATAAAAAATCCGATATAAAAGGTTTTTAAAAATCCTATTTTAATTATATGTTTGCTAAAAAAATCAGATATTGCTAAAAAAAAAAAAAATCCGATATTAATTATAGGTTTTAAAAAAAAATCCGATATTAATTATAGGTTTGCTAAAAATAATATTAAAGTTTTATAAAAAGTTGATATTAATTATAGGTTTCCTAAAACGAATCAGATATTAATAATAGATTTGCTAAAAAAATTATATTAAAGGTTTATACAAATCTGGTATTATAGGTTTCATAGAAATCCGATAGTAATTAAAGTTTTACTAAAAAAAAATCCGATATTAATTATAGGTTTGCTAAAAAAATCGGATATTAATTATAGGTTTGCTAAAAAAAATCCGATATTAATTATAGGTTTACTAAATAATCCGATGTAAAATGTTTATAAAAATCCTATTTTAATTATTTGTTTACCAAAAAATCCTATATTAATTATAGCTTTGCTAAAAAAACAAAACTTACAACAACAAACAAAAAAAAAAACAAAAAGAAAAAACATATTAAATGTTTTCATGTATAAGTTTCTTAAAAAGCTCCAATATTAGATTTGGGTTTGCTAAAAATACAACGCAAAAATGATATTATTACAAATATAAAACGTTTATTATTATAAACGATTTATAAAATTTCGATATTAATTATAGGTTTCCTAAAACGAATCCGATAATTATTATAGATCTGCTAAACAAAAAAAACGATATTAAAGGTTAATAAAAATCCGGTATTAATTATAGGTTTCCTAAAAAAAAAAAATCAATGTTAAAGCTTTATAAAAATCCAGAATTATAAGTGTCCTAAAAACGTTATTAAATGTTTATAAAAATCCACTTTTAATGATAGGTTCCTTTAAAAAAAAAATCCGATATTAAAAGTTTATAAAAAATTCACTATCTATATACTTTTCTAGCTATAAAACATTAATTCACATCGTCCAATTTTTGGCATCTTTTTCGTAGGTTTTTTTTTTTTTTTATATATATATATATATATATATATAGTGCTTTGGCAATCCCATTGGGTGATTATTAACAAAAGTTCCTTGGCAGACAAGTATTGTAATCCTATAAAACAAGGCTGTCACATAAATAGGGAGATTTAGGTAAATAGCCTCCTTGCTTATCAAGAACGGACAGGCACTGATAGTTAGGGCTAGATTATAAAATGTCTGCCGAGATAACAAATATGGCCGCATGCTTGTGTGCAGGGGGACTTTAGAATGTTTCAAATCAACATGTCTCCAGTGTCACCTATTCGGATTGACGACTTTTGACGACAAACAAAGGTTCCTTGTGAGAAATTTCGTTCAATACCATCTTGAAACGAAGTGGCACGGTCTAATTTTCTTTTCTCTTCGACGTCTACTTATCTGATTTTCCTTGTCTTCAGGTGACTGAAACAGCTAGTAGTGAGGACCCACTAACAGAGAATATATCTGGAATCTTTGAAAACACAGGATCTAATAAGACCCCGGGAATCGAAGGCCTTCCATGTACCCAACACCCTATGCGGACACAAATTTCCAACAACTAGATGAAGCAGGAGATTGTACCCCCAACGCTTCATCTGTGGGGTAAAGAATTACAAGAACGAAACGTACATAAATCGTCCGGAGGCCGTGGTTGAAGACAATGGCGATTTTATTGAATAAATTTACTCTTTAGTATTTCAAGATATTTTTGTGTAATTTTGGCAAATATTTCTGTTAAAATGAGATGCCGGTGTTATTTTCATTTTTGCCTCATTTCGACGACAATTTACCCATCGCGCCTAGTATATCTGTTAAAAAGAGACGTCAGTGTTTTTTTCATTTTTGCGTAATGTAGACGACAATTTATTCATCGCAACCTGTATAACCGTTAAAAAAGATGTCCGTGTTATTTTCATTATAGCCTCATTTGGACGACAATTTACCCATCGCACACTGTATAACTGTTAAAAAGAGGTCCGTGTTATTTTCATTTTTGCCTCATTTGGACGACAATTTACCCATCGCACACTATAACTGTTAAAAAGAGGTCCGTGTTATTTTCATTTTTGCCTCATTTGGGCGACAATTTACCCATCGCACCCTGCACATGAACTGAAGTAAGGCCCTTCTTTCAATTCTGTCGCTTCCATCTAACATACTTTACGATTACATTTCCAAGGCCAAATGTCTAAATAAATATTACGATAACAGCGGATCTTAGAAGGAAGTTGCGAAGAAGCCTTTTCAGATTCGAGCAGTGTGCATACGGATGAAGAAGATCCGCCGTTTGCTTCGAAACGCCTGCTTCATGCCTCATGAATGTTGACATAGCATAAGAATCTTCTCACGGTTGAAAACTGGCCTTTTTCATACTCGACCGTTGTCGAGAAACACATTCTATCAAATACTAGTCAGGGGTAGCGTGTGTAGAGAATTTGAACGTGGGCCTCTGTTTAACGGTACGGATTATCTGGCTTTGGGCAGGCACCCGGGTTAAAAAAAAATAAAATAAAAAAACCCTCAGAAATAATGAAGTATTCTACCCCATGTTAGTGATACGAGGCATATTCCCGGTCACCGAAAAAAATAAAAATAAAAAAATCTTTCGCTTTGGGACTAACTGCTTCGCAAGAATGCGCCAATTGTAATAAGGAGGAATTTATTTAGAACGACTTCTTTCACATTACGAGCGTACGCCCATTGTGTAAGCTTGTTGATAACTACACGATTTGCATGCTTTAGCTTTTTGCTTGGAAGCCAGTTCTCTTGTTGGTAGGAAGTCTAGGAGAAGGGGCATTCTGAATTTAAAATATGGACAAGGTGACAAGAAACCCCTCCGCCTTTCCTAGGAACACATATCATTTAACCTGTTCTCTAGCTATATGTTATATAGAAGAGTAAATTTTGGTTTATCGCCTTGGATGGCTGCCTTTTTAACCCATCACCTGCCATTATCCCCATTTGGGAATCTGTAAAAATTAAACTCACTACATGTTATTCTTTGTACTTACATTGAATTGGTTACATACATTGCATTTGCAGAGGGTATATTTTACAACATTTAGCCTTTAAAGCTTTTATTATTAGACGTAAGACGACACTTTCATATGTATGTATATAGATATGAAAGATATTTTCATATGTATGTATATATGTATGTGTGTGTTTTTTTTTACTCAGTTCACTCTGAAAAAGGTAATAAAGCCACTAAGACGCAAGGATGAAATGAATAAACAAAAATACTTAAGGCAAGGAGAGCAGAGGGAAACAGTGAATAAACTACTTGATTGCAGAGCCTCATACACTGCTTAGAGCTACGAGGGATAGGAAATGGTGGAGAGCCATGATCGCCTTTGTCCTGAAGTGACACAGTAAATAAATGAATTATTGTTATATATTCAACATTGGGGGGGGGACTTAACAAGTACTAAGGTAAGATCTATGTTCTTATAATAAGTTTAACCCATTACCTGACATGAGCCTCATTTGGGGATCTAAAATTAAACTCATTACATGTTATTCCTTGTATTTACATTGAATTGTTTACATACATTGCATTTTCTGAGGTATATTTTACAACACTTAGCCTTTAAAGTTTTTATTATTAGCCGTAAATCGACACTTTCTGTCGTAATTTTACATTTCACGAGTAGAAAAATACTGACTATTTTGAAAAGTATTTTTATTGTTTCTAATCAATATTATTTTTTGATATTTTATACACATATATATTTGAGGTTCTAGTTTCTATAAAAACGACAATGGTAACCACTGAAATTAAACATAAGGAATAAATAAAATCCTAAGACACCTGCCTGGGCCAAAAAGGCGCATTAAAAAATTTGGCAGTTAATGGGTGAAGAGAATTATTCCAAATTCATAACTATGGAGAAGATAACGGGAAACCATTCCAATATTCAGAATTCACTTTTCCCCAGCCATGGGTTAAATAGCAGGACAGACGTAGCTCACAAGCCTTGAGCGGCAGCCAGTCTTAGAGAAGGGCCGTCCTGAATTCAAAACTATGGAGAAAGCAATGAGAAACCGTTCCACTTCCTTTCCCAGTAATTCATAGCATTTCACATTTCCCCCAAAGTATGGGTTAAATAGTAGGATAGACTGGGCTCTCAAGGCTTGAGGAGTACTCTGAATTTAAACTAAATGCGGAGAAGGCAGCGAGAAAGCATTCCACTGACTTTGTTTTCAAATATTAAAGAAACGTCATCTGTAGAGACATGACAATTCACATAGACTAAAGAAAAGGAAGCTGTGGAGAACCATGATCGCCTACATCTAGATGAGACATGACAATTCAGAGATAATCAAGGAAAGAAATCTGTAAAGTGCCATGATCGCCTACATCCTAAAGAGTAAAGAGAGAAGGCAATTCACAGATAATAAAGAAAAGGAAGCTGTGGAGAACCGTGATCGCCTACATCTAGATGAGACATGACAATTCAGAGATAATCAAGGAAAGAAATCTGTAAAAAGCCATGATCGCCTATATCCTAAAGAGTAAAGAGAGAAGGCAATTCACAGATAATAAGGAAGCTGTGGAGAGCCATGATCGCCTACATCTATATGGGACATCGCAATTTTCAGATAAACAAGAGAAGGAATCTGTGGAGAGCCATGATCGACTACATACGGATGCGACATGGCAATTCAAAGATAATCAAGGAAAGGAATCTGTAGAGTGTCATGATCGTCTATTTTCTGAAGAGACATGGCAATTCACAGATAATAAAGAAAAGGAATCCGTGGAGAGCCATGATTGTCTCAATCCTGATGCGACCTGTCATTTCACAGATAATCAAGGAAAGGAATCCGTGTTCGTCTACATACCAAAGTGCTATGGTCTTGTAACTATATAGTTCTTTTTTTTTTTTACTATATTCTTGTACCTCTCGCTTTATGTTCACACCGTTAAATAAAAATGTATATAACTTCTTTGACGTTTTAAGTACCCAAGTCTTGTTCGATTTACTTTATCTTATAAAAGAAATAAGATCCATTGGTTCAAAGAAATTTTTGTTAAAATTTCGGTAGTGACTATTACAATGCGTTCGGGAAAGACCAGAATGAAGAGAAGAAGAAGAAGAAAAAAAAATTTGAAGGAAGAAAAATGGAAAATCACAATAAAATTGGGAATGAAGGAAGGAAGGAATGAAGGAAGAAGTAAATATAGATGAATACGCGTGAGTAAAGAAAAAAAAAGACCAAAAGGAATTAAGCACAAATACAAAAAAGAAGAAAAAAAACAAAAACATTGTCGAACTGTAAATGAAGGGAAAATGGCGGACGAAAACGTGAGGAGACTGACAAAAAACAAATGAAAGTAAAAGAACGTTGTATGAAAAAAATGGCTGACGGAGAGAAAAAATGGTAAAGGAATTGAAAAAAGAGGGATCTGATAAAAGAATTTAAAGAAACTGCAGGAAAGAGAGAACTGGTAAATGAATTTAAAGGAATTGGAGAAAAGAGACAACTGGTAAAAGAAGTTCAAGGAATTGAAGGAAAGAGAACTGGTAAAAGAAGTTCAAGGAATTGAAGGAGAGAACTGGTAAAAGAAGTTCAAGGAATTGAAGGAAAGAGAGAACTGGTAAAAGAAGTTAAAGGAATTAGAGGAAAAGGAGAACTGGTAAAAGAAGTTAAAGGAATTAGAAGAAAGAGAGAACTGGTAAAAGAAGTTAAAGAAATTAGAGGAAAGAGAGAACTGGTAAAAGAAGTTAAAGAAATTAGAAGAAAAAGAGAGAACTGGTAAAAGAAGTTAAACAAATTAGAGGAAAGAGAGAACTGTTAAAAGAAGTTAAAGGAATTGAAGGAAAGGGAGAACTGGTAAAAGCAGTTAAAGAAATTAGAAGAAAGAGAGAATTGGTAAAAGAAGTTAAAGAAATTAGAGGAAAGGGAGAACTGGTAAAAAAAGTTAAAGAAACTGAAAGAAAGAGAGAACTGGTAAATGAAGTTAAAGGAATTGAAGGAAAGAGAGAACTGGTAAGAGAAGTTAAGAAAGAAACAAACGCGAAACAGCCCTCGCCTTATAAACAAGAAAAAATAGACTTAAAACATTAAAAAAAATAAAAATAAAAATAAAAATAAATGTACTGACAACCAAATCAGTTACAAATAAGATGAATAAATAAAATAAATAAAAGTGGAATTTCATTAGGGGATTTAAATGCTCGAATTTATTTATTTATTTTGGCATTCTTTAATTTCTTTCTGATGTTCCCAAAGGAGCAAAAGCAGGACTCGCTTGATTTTTATGTTGTTTATTCTTATCTTTATACTTGTTGTGTTGCTTCGGTTGCTGCTGACTTTCATTCGGCTCTGAATTCTTCTTCTCTTTCGTAAGTAACACACAAAGGGAGAGAAAGAGAGAGAGCGAGAAAAAAAAATGGCGTGCTTTCTCCGGACGTGTCTCCTGGCATTAAAGATCACATGCAAGCCAGTTTTGAGATGCGGAGTAAGCAGCCGAGAAAAAATTTTTGGCAACGAAATGAACAGACAGAAAAATCTCTCCTCTTCGTATTTCTCAAAACCAATCAATCAAACTTTCTTCTATTTTTCGATGTTTTCTTCTCTTTTATTTTCGTCTTCCATTTTTTTTTTTTAAATTTTATTCTTCCATTTTAACTTTTATTTTTTTTAATATTTTTTCGATTATTCCTGGTTTGTTTTTTCTTTCTTTACGTTCGATGTACAATTCTTCCTTAATGTCGTCTTTTTATAGTCTTCAAAAGCCTTTATAATGTTCTTTAAACTATTTGTCATCCTTTCCTACACTGATTTTACTTCCATATTGGATTCTACTGCACCCACCTTCCATGTTATCCTCCTACCCTTATTCATTATTTTCATCCTTACAGTCTCCCTTTTATAGCTTTTTTTAAATTTTTTATTTTTCGTTACAAATTAACAAAATATAACGGACAAAAGCTGCCCCCCAATATTTGGATGCTATTTTTCAATTTACACTATTTACATTGTTCGGACTATTGTCCTCATCTTTATTGTGATATTCACGACGTTTCAGCCGTTGTACGATCCGACCTTCTTCAGGTGATATACGTTGGAATTTCGAACCGAATCCTTTATTTTGTCCCCCGGGGAAGATTGTTCTAGTTCCACGTGCCTTACCTTTTCTGGATGTCTCAGTTTCAGTTATTCCCATTTAGTGGACGAAATAAAGAGATCAGTTTGAAATTTCACCTGAAGAAAACCGGGGCGTACAACGGCCGACACGTCGTGAATATGACAACAAAGATGAGGACAACTGTCCGAACAATGTAAATAGTGTGAATAATTACAATACCTCAAATCAGAAATATAGACAGATATCTTTCAATTTGTTTGCAGCATCATCTTTTTCTATGTGCCGGGTTTCTTTAAGACGTGGGTGATCATGGTTCTTCACAACTTCCTGTTCTTTTCTGCTTTAAGCAATGTTTCACTTTTTTGCTAGCTCTTCCATCCCTGTTCTGCCTATTAAATAATAGTTTCAAACTATTATTTTTTAGTGGCAGTGTATTTTGGCTCAGACCTTCTGAGGCCGACCTTTACGGTCAGATGGTAGACAAAATATGGAAGTCGATTTTGGTTGGGTGAGCCGAACGTAGGAATGAGTTATAGATTAAGGTTTTTCGATGAGTTGCTGTTCGAACGATTGGCTAACGAGACGTATTAGATTGCGTTTGTGACATCCCCACCCGTAAGTGGGGAAGGGTCTTTCGAGAGTTGGTTGTTACACGTCAAAATGAAATGGACGTGTGAGATTTGGTGTTTGAAAGCGGCTCTCTAATAGGGAAAGTGTAGTAAACCCCTACTGACAGAAGATGGACCCATCGACGTGGTTAATAAAATGATAGCTTTTCGTCTCTGAACTCAAAGAACATTTTCGCGACACCGACCAATAGAAGGAGAGGATTGAGCTAAAACGGCCAACGATCACCGGCCAGACGAGATGAGACCAACCAACAACAGCCCCCCGCCTCCCAATCAAGGGTATACAACACTGCCAACGAATTACACCAGCTCGGTCGGTAGGTTATTTGTTGCTTTCCTCTGTTCCTTTTACCTTGTCAACGTGTCCTGTGAGTGTTAAATTTTCCAGGCCCACTTTCTTCATTATGCGCCCTAGATATTTTAAATGTCTCTTTCTGATTCTAATTATAGTTTCCTTTTCTTTTCTGCTATGCACTCTGTCCATAAGCATTCGAGTCATGAGTTTTGCCGTGTGGCTCATTCGACCGATTATCCAATGGAATTCGTGTGCGTTTGCGTCTGTCTTCCAGGCCAGCGTTATGAAAAATACCCCACTTGATCTATCCCTGCTGATATTACAACATAGTTTAGCTTTCTTATTTTTCGTTTAGGGCTAGGTTTGTTGTTTAATGGCATACCAAGTCCTTGTGAGACATTTAATGCCAAAATTTAATTTTATTAGGAGGTTTCGTAATTTTTTTTTGTGCCATTAAAATCTATTGCTGGAATATTTTTTTACTATTAAAATCTATTAAAAATCTATTAAAATCTATCGCGGAATATTTTTTACTATTAAAATTTATTAAAATCTATTGCTGAATTTCTTTTTACTATTAAAATCTATTAAAAATCTATTAAAATCTATCGCGGAATTTTTTAACTATTAAAATCTATTGCTGGAATTTTTTTTCTATTAAAATCTATCGCTGAATATTTTTTACTATTAAAATTTATTAAAATCTATTGATGGAATATTTTTTACTATTAAAATCTATTAAAATCTATCGCTGAATATTTTTTACTATTAAAATTTATTAAAATCTATTGCTGGAAATTTTTTTTTACTATTAAAATTTATTAAAATCTATTGTTGGCATTTTTATTATAAAGATGTATTTTTTATACTTTCATGTTGTTTTGGCACCAGTTTGAAGCATCACTATTTGCTCGAAGAGGTGCTACCCTCTGGGTTTGGGTAGACCTGGGAATAACAGCAATTAAGAGGTGCTTCCATGCTTCTCAAAAACTCCCGATCAGAGGTCTTGCTGCCGGATGTAGTTTATCGTTATACCCAGGAAACAATACATAACCTACCTAGCAAGCATGAGTAAATGGATGACTAAACAAGATTTAGGAGAGATTTAAAAAAAAAAAAGAAAAAAACCCAAAAGACAGGAAATCGTGGAGAACCGTGATCGCCAACGCCCTGAAGAGGAGCATCTTTGTCACAGATGAAACGTCGCAAGCCTCTCATTATTTCTATAGAAAATGTTGAGATAGGTTCTACTCTTTAATTGTGCCATATGAGACATTTACAACTAAGATCCGCCATGCTACATCCACGGGATCGAACCACCCTCATCTCCCCGGTAATCCAATTGTAAGTATGAAGTTCTACTCAGAGAGCTTCCTCACACCCAAGAACCGCTACTTTCTGGTACAGAGTGCCGCATGGAGGCTTCCCTCTCAGAACCCTACAATACTGATCTCTTCAAGTAAAGGGCCAATCCTCCCCTTATCTTCATATGACACACCTCATTCTGTAACTTTCTACCTTGAGTGACTCTTACAACTTGACTGATTCATCTCCTACGGCTTGTCAACACTTGGCAGGTTATTTAAAACCAGAAAATATTTTTAGATTGTAAGAATATTTTTTGTTTCAGATAATAATGGTTTACTGATACAGGTTTTATTATTTAACCCATTTCTGGGGGGAGAAGAAGTGCCATTCAAAATTTGATAAACAAACAATGTTACAATATGGATATAACGTGGGGGTTCAATTCTATATTACCACAAGTACACAAACTGACCCCTCACTTTGTGGCCACGGTAGTTTCTCTAATTTTATATTCCAGAGAACGGAAATAAGTCTAAAAGTCATGTATGCGTCGCTAATTAGTATTTCATTAATTGATTGATTCATTTTCTACGTCTTATCAACCCGTCGCAGGTTTTATTTAAAGCCAGAAAATATTGTTAGAATATAAGAATTTTGGGGCGGCGGATAATAATGGTTTAGGGATACAAGTATTTACTAGCTTAGGGTGGAGAAGAGATGGATTCATGCCTTTCCCAAGGATATTTGCAGATAAATAAATACAAAGAACCCGACTGGAATTGAAACTCAGCTCTCCGGTTAAAAATTCCGAGCCATTATCCATGATATCATCCGCACACCCAAGTTTACAGCACCTGGTATTCCCAAGCGGTCACCCATCTAGGTACTGACCAAGCTTGACGTTGCTTAACTTCGGTAATCGCACCGAAACTAGTGCTTCAACGTGATACGGCCGTGAGCCCTTTAGACCACCCGCACATCGAAGCTTACAGCATCTGGTATTCTCAAGCGGTCACCCATTTAGGTACTGACCAGGCTTGACGTTGCTTAACTCCAGTGATCGTACGGTAACCTGTATTTCAACGCGAGATGGCCGTAAACCCTCCAGATTAGCTTCCTATCAAAGCTTACAGCATCTGGTATTCCCAAGCGGTCACCCATTTAGGTACTGACCAGGCTTGACGTTGCTTAACTCCAGTGATCGTACGGTAACCTGTATTTCAACGTGAGATGGCCGTAAACCCTCCAGATTAGCTTCCTATCAAAGCTCACAGCATCTGGTATTCCTAAACGGTTACCGATTTAGGTACTGACCAGGCTTGATGTTGCTTAACTTCAGTGATCTTACTGGAACCTGTGTTTCAGTGTAATGCGGCCGAAAACTCTTCAGCCCACCAGCACATCTAGCTTTACAACACTTGGTATTCCTAAACGGTCACCCATTTAGCGAACAAGCTAGTCGTTGCTTGAAAACGGTGTTTTAACGTGATGTGGTCATAAGCCTCTCACGCCTTAAGTTGGGTGAAAAATTAGTAAAAAAAGACCCAACATTTACACTATTTACATTGTTCGAACTGTTCTCATCTTTATTGCCATATTCACGACGTTTCGACCGTTGTACGCTCCAACATTCTTCAGATGATATACACTGAAATTTCGAACCGAACCCTTTTTTAGTCCCCAAGTACACATGGCCCAGTGGATGAAAGAAGCGTTCGTTGAGTAATCCAGAAAGTGACTAGAACCAAAGAGTCAATAGCTGGCCACATCAGAGGTGAATAAAAACTTGGAGAGTTGAGTTATACTAAAGGGAAATAACTGAAACTGAGATATCAGCAATAACAGGCATGGCACGTGGAATTAGAACAACTTAACCCCGTGGACTAAACAAAGGGTTCGATTCCAGCGTATATCACCTGAAGAAGGCCGGAGTTTAAAATGGCCAAAACGCCGGGAATATGGTAATATAGACGAGGACAACAGCCCGAACGATGTAAATAGTGTAAATAGTTACAATACCTCATCTCAGAAATATAGTCAGATATTGAAGAAGGCCGGAGCCTGCAACGGCCAAAACGTCGTGAATATGACAATAAAGATGAGGACAACAGTCCGAACGATGTAAATAGTGTAAATAGTTACAATACCTCATCTCAGAAATATAGTCAGATATTGAAGAAGGCCGGGGCCTGCAACGGCCGAAACGTCGTGATAATGACAATAAAGATGAGGACAACAATCCTACGATTTAAATAGTTGCAATACCTCATCTCAGAAATATTATATACTGAAGAAGGCCGAAGCGTACAAAATGTCGTGAATATGACAATAAAGTTGCAAATACCTCATCTCAGAAATATAGACAGATATAAAAAAACAAAATATTCTGTTCGCAATGGCGAGAACAATAATTGGGCAAATGAAAAAAAAATTTCAACAAGTTTTCATTTTGTTTTTAGCGGTTCAAACTTTTGTAAATATTTCTTGACAATTGAAAATAAGCGGTAATTAAATTTTGGTGACTATGGAAAAACAAATGAATATCACAGTTGCAGAAAAGAAAAAAATTATGGACATTAATAAAGTTCGACAAAAAAAAAAGGAAAAAAATAAAGAAAGAAAACAAATTCAGTTCATTCCTTGCCATTAATCGTTATAATTATTAACTGGAATGGCATAAAACATACTTGTTAGAGTGCAATGCATCTACTGTTGTCATGGAATTAGCATTCTTCTACAAACATGAAGTGTTTTATTGGTTACAAGCACTTGGAATCGACTGGTGACGATAGGCCGGTTAATTTGAGATATATCAACATAGACTGTGTTATTTAATATCGAACAATTTTTTTTTTATAAAACAAAGATCCTAATCCCCTAACAAATAACGTAGATCAGTGGCCCCCAAACTTTTTTTTCTCTGGGCTGCATTTTCGGAATGAACATTTGCTCACGCCTCACCAAATTTTATATGATAAAAAGTTAAAGAGAGATAACCCCAGATTCAAAGTCAGAATATTATCATTGATAACTCTCTCCTCCAATTTGCAGACCCTACTTACTATATTCTTAATACTTGGTATAATGCAAAAAATATCACAATGATAAAATCGGTCAATAATTATTTATAACTATTTAATTTAGGACTCATGCATCCAATTACAAGTAACCCATAATATTCTAAATTTTGAAATCATATTTATTTTTAGCATATGAATTTTTTGAAACCGTTTCTAAATCTTTGGTTGTCTTTCTATCATTCCGCTTCACCTGCTATCCTCTTTTCACAGCACCTATGAGGTACGCCGTGCCATTTGAGAACCAGTGACGTTGACTAACAGATTTTTTTACGGCTTATTAACCTTTTGCAGGTTATTTAAAGCCAAATATTTTTAGATTATAAGAATTTTCTTATTGGAGATAATAATGGTTTCGTGATACAAGTCTTACTAATTAACCCATAGCTGGGGAGAAGAGGTGGATTCATACCTAATCAAGATTTGATAAAAACACGAGATTATAATGTGGATATAAAGTGGGGGGGATCAATTCTATGCTACAATAAAGTGAGGGATCAATTCTACGTTATAATCAGTATATAAACTGATCCCTCATTTTGCGAACACGGTAATTTCTATACATTCATATTCCAGAGAATATAAATAAATCTAAAAGACATGTCTGTGTAGCTAATCAGTATTTCATTGATTGATTGATTTGTTTTCTACGGATTATCAACCCTTTGCAGGTTATTTAAAGCCAGAAAATATTGTAAAATTGTAAGAAAATTTTTTTAGATAATAATCGCTTAGTGATACATGTCTTACTAATTAACCCATAGCTGGGGGGAAAAGAGGTGGATTTATACCTTTCTCAGGGGAATTTCCGCCTACGTGAGTATGACGATCTCAGCAGATATTGGAACTTGCCTCGCCGATTGACAATTAGGAGCCATTATCCGTTACACCACCCGCACATCCAAGCTTATAACACCTGTTATTCCCAAGCGGTCACCCATCTTGGTACTGATTTGTCTTGACTTTGCTTAACTGATTATACGGCAGACCGGTGTTTCAACGTGATATGGCAAGTAAGCCAGATTAAATAGAAACCGGTCCTTGTTTAAACGAGAATAAAAAAAAAAGGTAGTCATAAGTACGTATATAGGTGTAACGTTCGTTCAGGCTTAGAATATTGTCGCCACATATGGTCCGGTGCCGCTGCTATTTACCTTGAGCTCCTTGATAGAATCGAAAGAAGAATCAGCAATATTATTGGTCTTGATCTGGCGGCTCAGCTCAAGTCACTTTCCCACCGCAGCCTTTTTCTATAACTACGCTCATGGCAAATGTAACCGCTTCTTCTACTCCAACAGCTTCTTCTCTCGTACTTCCCAACAGTGGAACTCCCTTCCTCTTACTTGCTTCCCTGATAGCTATAATCTTCAAATATTCAAATGTAATGTCAACTGACATCTTCTGATACCTTGATCCTGATCTACCATCATTCTCTATATCCTTTCCTCAAACACACCTTTTTACTCTTGGAATAAAGTGTCGCTGACGACGCTAGAGTTTGAACACAGAACACCAGAGAGCAAACACAGGCGATCCCATTTTGAATAAGCAGATCACGTGATGGTAAAGGAAATGTACATATGGCGATCTATGTTCGAACACAGGTGTCGGCAATGACACTTAATTCCTATATAACACCTTTGAAGCACACTCACTCTTTCACATTGTCTCGATATGCCATACTTCTCAGTTTCTTATCCGAAACGTAAACAAAGCAATTTCTAAAGAACTAACGGATTTTTTTTTTCATCCAGCATATTTTTATCACTTTAAACGTTATTTTTAGTGGTTACTCGTATTTGAGGGGAGGATACATATTATTTTATCTTGAATAAGTTGCTTATAGTATTTATATTCGGACTATTGTCCTCATCTTTGTTATTTTTAACACCTCCATTGGTGCATCAAAATAGTGTTTAAAATAATGCGGAGCGTCTACTAAAATATGGGACTCTGTAAAAAACAGCGTTTAAATAATATAATCTGTCGGATTAATAAATAAAAATCATCTATCACTTATTTAGAATATATATATATATATATATATATGCAGGTAAAATGAGAACGAATGGACTATAATTCCACTGTACGTAACATTTAATTTAAAAGAAGTCTCAATACAGAAAAGAGCTAAATATGATTTATTTTAGGATATTAAAACAAAAAACATGTTAAAAATCGCTACACAACTACAATCAAATTTCAACACCACAAATGTGTCTCCTCAGACGATGTTAAACTGCTGGCGATGGAACGATTACTTTAAAGCAGAATATTTTTTTTTTTTTCGAAAAAAAAACCCAGAATAAATACACACACACACCCATATATATATATATATATATATATATATATATATATATATATATATAGATAGATAGATAGATAGATAGATAGATAGATAGATACCAAATTGTAAGTATTTATATTATTCGGACTATTCTCCCCATCTTTGTCGCCATGTTTATCACAACGTTTCGGCCGATGTACGCTCCGGCCTTCTTCAGGTGGCTGGATTGTTGTACTGGACCTTTTTATTTCGCACACGTTGTGATAAACATGGCGACAATGCAAATAATGTACATAATACCACATCTCAGAAATATAGACAGATACCAAATTGTAATTGTTAGGGATTATTCCAAAGAGTAATTTCCAGTCCATGTGAGAGCTCAATGTATGATCCAGAACAAATTATAATTTAAATTATTTAAATTATAATATAATTTTAATTATAATATAAAGGAAAAAAATCTGAAAAATCTATAGTAATGAATTTATTACGATGAATATAAGCATATTCATCTCATCAGACCGACTGCTTATATTTATCGAAATAAATTTATTACTATATATTTTTTTAGCTTATTTTTCAGAATTATTATATATTATTAACTATATATTAGTATAGATTTTATTGAAAGGATAAGGGAAGAATAGGAAACATTTATAAATCCAACATGTTTCGCTTTTATTAAAGCTTCTTCGGAGAATAAAATATATCAAAAGATCTGTCAGAATG